CCCAAAGAAAGTGATGAAGCGGTCACAAAAGCCTAACATGATGTGGATTGCAAGAGCTTTTCTCTGCAATAATCACAGTGAAGAACGAGTATCAGTTATACTCATGCTCTCGATGTATTGGTCTCTCTACACAATTCTCCAGCGCGCCTCCAGTCAGTAATTCGCAACTCGATGTTGTGAAACTTCAAGCAATCAAGAGACAACTTCTTTGCAACCTATGCCATTAAAAATGCTCTCGAATAGAGTTGTAGAGCCGCAACTAAACTTCTGGTTGCTTTCGTTAGAGCCTGAGACGCCAAAGATAAAAGCAAGAACATTATTCCGATCTTCAAGAAGAGTTCCCAAGGAATTGTTTTTAAAGGCATGCCCCAGGATCACGTAGGTGTGGTTCTTGTACAAGAATACGACTGTATTGGTGCGAAGTGGGCATAAATCCCTATATGAACCTGGAACTGCGGTTTCGATTCCCGCCTGAAGTGGAAGTTTGCCCAAATTCAAGATCCTTGTGAAATTTCATCGTACCTGTTTCATATCGCTGAAGCCCTTCCCGATTGGCTGTGCACGATTACATTTTACTGGTGGTTGTGGTGAATAGAACCTTCCAAGAGATCTGTTCGTTGATTTTCATAACAGAAAGATGAAAATGATATCTTTATTGAAAACAAAAATCACAATGTTTTGTGTCCCATCGGGAACTGATATGATGATTCGTTCGCGAAAAAGCAGTTGGGTCATTCGCCGCGTCTGTGCGTCGCACAGAGAGGAAGAGGAAAATAAGGAAAATGATCGCGATCATTCGAGAATAGTCAGTATCAAATCATTTGAGAAGTTCTTATCTAGACTCCCTGCCTCACAGTTTCACACAGGCAAATTTTGGTGCCATACTCATCCTACTGTAAGCCAATTGTTCGATTGTGCTTGAAGGCAGTGATCACGATGGCTGTAGGGCGGTGCGGTTTTTGATGACGCCATTGAACGTCATTGGTGGGAAGGCCTTTGGGGGCGGTTCCAACTAACCATAAGCCCCCCCAGCGAACTGAGGGTATAGTCCACCAATGACTCCCAATGACGTCATCAAACCGCACCGTCTTCCAGCCATCGTGACCACTGCCTTTAAATTACACAATGAATACTCCGGGGTTAGAAGAAAGAATATGACAATAATTTGATAGTACATAATCGTTACATATACTAATTACTTTGATAACAAGAATTGCCACACACAAACATCAAGAGTTGAGCCATAAATTGATCAAAATCAAATGAAGACAGAAAACAAAGAATTAGTGCCTAATTCAGTCATCATCCGTTGTGCTGCTAGTTTGCGAGCGATCCGAAGATGTGTTGACGCTGGAGCTCTCCGACTCTGAACTTGACTCGGAGTCGAATTTGCTAAAAAAGGAATTTTAGTCGCTTTTCGTCAAGAAATGCCATTGGCGGAAACTGTTTGGTGGAAAATGGAGCCGCATACGATAGTCGAACTCCTCCTTCCATCCTTCAACCGCAACATTCCAGTATCGAACTAGTGGGGTAACAACGGTTATAATGAAATTGTGGAGACCGACGTTGACCGCAAATAGGAAAAGCGACGAAAGTCGCCCAGTAAATGCCCTTGAAGCGGACTACCCTCTTTTCCCTTGATCTGAAAGTAAGCGCGTGGCCGGACGAGTTGTTTGATTCTAAGTTGCTCGACACCTGGCTCTATAGCCGCTCATGGTAACTATAACCAAATCGCATATTGCACTCAGATACAGATAGAGACATGCATCAAAGCAAACAAGAAACGCGCGACAGTTACCGCGCAATCGGAACCCGCAAGCTCACAGCAACATGGGATCTTCAACGGGTGACAATGGGTGCGTTATCCGAGCAATATTGTTTATTTATTGTCGGTACGCCCACTTCGAAAGCGTTCCACTGTCCCTTCTAGGGGCTTTCCGGGTAAATTGTCCTGTTCGCGCCACTTTTCATGGCTTGACTAGGGCTATCGCTCATTCCCAGCACTAATTTATAATCGAATGTAAGATACTGGCTGTTGCTTTAAAGGTTCTAAACGACGAAATCGCGCTGACGCCGAACTCGTGGTAGATGCCAAACCCTTGTACGATGTCCTGCTCCATGTAGGAACACTTGTTACGTAATTTCGTACTTGTAAACAGACCCTTCGCTTCCGCCCCTATCGCTGTGCGATTTCATCTCTGAAAGCGAAGATCCAGACGAGGTTGGAGTGATGGACCTGCTTCCTGTACTCGTGGACAATCTAAAACTCTCCTCGATCGTTTATTTCCTGACATGATTTATGTTAAAAACCTAGTCTACGGTCTGCTTATGACTCCTATCATAAGGCTAAAATCTACCTTTCAACTTTTACTATCGAGACCTCCGTTCGAACTTCGTCCGATTTTGCAAGCAAAAATGCCTCTGTGCGCACTTCCTAACTCATCGAAAATTTCTTCTCTCAAAAAACTCGAGATCATCCTGAAAGCTATCCGAGTTGTGTGTCTCGAGAAGGCCATGGTTGAACGGTAAGGAGGGCTGAGGATCACGAAATCAAGCTCACCCAAGAAATTGATCACCATCTGCCACTGCTCTCATGGCCACATCTACCGCTTCAGTGATTACCCTGAATAAAACCTCAGCTGATGAAGAATTTCCTAATAAACATTACACTTACCCATCAGTGAAAACCTCTCGGTCGATGCATAATGGTAATCAGCACAGTCTTCTTAAAAGGTCGATCGAACTTTCCTTTGACTGCTGCTGATCAAGCCTGCCCGTCTTCTGCGCGCATCCTCCATGAATAGTTTTAGAAATGTGAAGAGGTGGTTTCGGTTTCTGAACTTCATAGATCCAGTCCAAAAGATAATTAGCACTAGTTCCTCGCAGAAACCTTTCTATGCAACGGCGGCTGGTAATCCTTTGACTGTAGCAGTTTTGGCTTGACTTCGATTCCGTTAAGAGGAGGCGTAGAGCTGGCGGCATCCGTCCTTGCGAAGCTCCCACATATTCCGCTAACTCATAACTCACGATGTGGGCGGGGTAGCTGAACTAGTTATTTTTCAAGTTCATTTGTAATTTTTTCTATCATTTGTTGACTGGACGAAGTTCGGCATTTGGCAACGTTTACCACATTCATGGCCCGAGTTTCAAAATTCGCACTGAACTGATGTGAGTGAGCTCCAGATATGGAACTACTGGGAACATAAAATTACTAAAACCTGTAAAATTTGTACATAGAAGAGAGTAGACTTTCACAAGTTATTGTGTAGGACAATTCGCAATTTCAAAAAGCGATTGATCCACGCTGGATGCTTTATTCGTTTTCCTTATTTTTGATGCTGCTTGCGCAAGCTTTGCGAAATGTACCACGTTCAAAACCAAATCGAGACCACTTCACAACAGGCATTCATTTAAAAGCACAAAGGATCAGTAGGTCGAAAGATAAAGAACATATAAAAATAATAAAAGCAAATAAATACAAAGCGAATATGAAGCAAAATCGACAAAAATTCGAAATATTGCTATTGAGTTAAAGGCACAACCGAGCCAGAAGTCGGTGAAATTTCCTTTGGCCAGTAGGACAGAACCCTAGAGGACAATCACAGATGTGGCACTCATGAGCATGGGGATCGTCCGACAGGGGCCTTGGTAAATTAGCTGCAGCAGCTGCAAACTCGCCGTCTGCAACAGGCCGTCGTCTCTATCACCTATTGCATTCTCTCGCCCCATACTCTGCCGGGGTCTCCGAGTTTCCTAGATTCCTAGAAGTGCTAATGGTGGCGGAAGTGCAGGTTGCGCTGACTGAAGAGGAAGACGGAAGCAGGTGAGAAAGGGGTGTGATGAGGTGAGATCGAATGGGGAGTATCCTCAGGGCTAGTGACGGCGATGGTGGAGAATCGTGTCATGACCGCCTGAAAGGGGCAGGGTCTTGTAAAGTTTCAAATTGGCGCAAAGGACTTGACCCTCCTTCGGACACCCTTCCGCTATTTACCATATGGTCTTCTGAACGACCACGGCTACGATCTTCGGTGTGTTTTCAGAAAGGGTGGGGTATTTTGGTGCAATACTTTGTGCCGTCAACAACTATTTCACTATCGTAAAGGAGAAAGGTCTCCGATGTAAGTAATCTAATACAGTTGTTAAAGGAAACCAGGTCAAAATTGTTTTCCCATAGTTTTGCAGTAAAAGAAATTGGAATAATTGAAAAATTGTATTTTGAAATTGTCATGGTTTCAAATGTGTTGGACACTTCACTAAAACGACCACCTCCCGCCATTCCCTCCTGCGCTCTTCTGACGAGTCCATTCCTTCCCATCGGGAATCGGATAGTATCAAGGACATGGAGTAGCCCACGTGATGTTTGCTTTTGATTTTTTTCCTGATTTTTTCGAGACGATCGCAAAGTGCACTATTAGGTCGGCATAAATACAGATGCGACTGAGGGGCAGGGTCGGTCCTATCGTTGTTACTTTCTGAAAAATTTTTACGACCCCCCTCCCCCAAGGTGGATTTGATACGACCCCCTTTTCGACACCTCGACCACCATCATCGTCTCTATAGTACTTAATTCTGATACCACTCAACTCACCAAACCCCGCCCACTTTTTCCTCCAAAAATGCCGTCGAGCGGGGGGGGGGTATATAGTCACTCTGAAACGGTAAATATCTCCGAAATCCCTTCTACTTCCACCAATCACGAGGCATGGTTCCATTTCTTACCTGTACTCCCACTACTTCGGAAGGGGGGGGGAGGGGTATATACGCCCGCTGAAACGGCAAATTTTTATCCTGCGCGCCCTCCACTCGCCCAGCCTACTACCCACGAAATCTTAGTTTCACCTCAATCCCACACGTGATTTCGAGCGACTAAAGTGGGTACGACCCCCCCCTACAAACTCAACCAAGTACGACCCCCCCCCGTTGGTACTTGTACCAACGTAGGGTTGACCCTGCTTCCAGGAAACCAAGTACCACATGTCTATTATCTTCAGCCGCTTCATTTTCTATCCTTTACGGGTAGAAAATTGTATCTATGGGCCCTACTAGAAATCCTTGTTCATATTTCGTATTCGAGTGAATTAGGACTAAGTATGAAAAACAAAGCTGTTCAAATTATGAGCGCAGTACCTTTGGTTGCTGGCGTTTAGCAGCATCAGCCGACGATGCCCTTTTTGGAATGTAGTGTACACCTGAAAAAGGGCACAAATCAGAGATTCATTCAATGTTTTCGTACGTACACGACAGTTCATATTCTGCCCATATACTGCAGAAAAACTTTAATGAGAGCCGCTAGGCCTTTTATAGGTGTTTCCACTCTTTTACATTATTTGTCTGCCCGTTTTGGTGCTTCATGTTCTTTTTTGTCCGGTGGTTTCGATAGCTTTCAGTGTAAAAGTGGTGAACACAATCAATGGAAGGCGGTGCGGTTTTTCAAGTTATTGGACGACCAGCGGCGTATCCAATCTTTCCCCAGGGGGGCTCCAATCGCCGCCTATTCGTCTAAGGCCGATGTCAGACTTTGCGAATCGCGCGATTCGCTAGCGTCCGCGGTCGCGTTGCGGTACCAGCCAATTGAGTGATTCACTGGCCGCGACGCGACCGCAGACGCTAGCGAATCGCGCGATTCGCAAAGTCTGACATCGGCCTAAGGTGGGGAGGGGGGTGAGTGATAAGACCCGCCTAAACGCGTCTGCGTTTCTAATCCCTAGACACTTAGAGCAAGGCGACCCCTCAAAGAAAGAGTGCTTCAACATAGAACGTGTAAGGCGAGCCCCTTGACGTAACCCTGCCTTCACGAACCTTTGGATCGAATCAGCGGCGAGGACGCGTCCCCTCTCCCTGGGAAAAGATTGGATACGGCCCTAGGTCTCTTAGCGTTCTGGGCTGTGGTTGGGTCCACACCTCTCAATGCTACATTGCCACCAATTGCTACGCCTTTTAGTCATCGTGTTCAACTGCCTTTAAGGGCAGGAAAAGTTATGCTTAACTTGCTGGGACCGCCAGACATTCGCATCCATTTATGACACAAATTTGAGGTAAAGAAATTGACAGCCACTAGGACATGATCGGCGGCCGTTATTGCATATGTCAGATTATTAGGACACTTCTCAATCTTTGTGAAGAATGGCTGCATCCTGTACTCAATGGGACTCGACGATGCTATAATGGCGTACCATGGCAAAAACGAGAATGGTATAGTGGCAAGAGGCGTCTATTCGGCGATGTACAGGGTTCAAAAGGCCGGATTCCCGCTGGAGGATTGCGCTTTACCACGCAACCTTACATCCATAGGAAAGAGTCAAAGACGCGGTTGTAGCACGGTTTAACCATGAACAGTTTGTGCATGGGCCAAGTTCCGTCCATATGGCTCTTTCCGCTTGTTGCGCACGGCGCACACTATAGGTAATGCATCTCTGTGGGGTGGCCCAAGCGACAAAACCGCCTTGTACAGGACGTACCTTAAAATGTAGAAAGTATAACGGAAGACTTCCTAGTGGAAAAATAAGTGAAATCTGATTTTACAGTTCGGCAAACTCCACAGCTGCTCTAGGAAGGGGTGGGGGTGGGGGTATCGCAGGAAGTCGATCTTCTATATCTGCAGCGAAAATACTGGATATGGTGGTGTAGGAAAACCTCCAGAAAGCTTCTATTCAATGTTTCTTATGGCTTCAGGTAGGCGTAATCACACCCGCAATCAATGTTTCCATTCCACACAGCAGTTCCCTGATGTGATTACTGCCTTCAGGTGGTAGACTAGGGCAATTAGATAACACCCGCGAGAAATGTGAGCTTTGCCAGCTCGGACTGCTCCCATGAACGTGTTTAGTTCCCGCTTCCACAGCCCAGAGTTAGCATGGTGGCAACTGAATACCCCTTCCAACTGAATAAAGCGACCAAATACTTGGAGTGGTCTTGAAAAAATATTCTTGTGTCCCATCATTCAAAAATGCCCCAATACGACCCCCTAGCCGATATTTTCTGGAACTATTGTGCATTTGCGGTCAAAAGTGTTCGCCGAAACGTTTTTTGTGCATTATTTTTTCTCACTCAAACAGTGCCCTTCAAATATTAATAAGACATGCCTTTTGAAGCCTTCAAAACCTTGACTCTTGAAGAGTTTAGATATTTGAAAGAAAGGCTTCAAACTAATCTTTAGATCTTTCTGTGAAGGGAGGAAATGAAAGTCGCGAAAAAGCGTTCCGGCGAACACTTTTGACCACTACTGTATTTGTGGGTCGGTGGGAGAGAAAGCGACTTTGTCGCCTTCGCGGAGGGAAACTTTCTCGCTGTGGAAGTCCCAGGTTCATCTCCGATGGTAGACCTAGCATTCCTGCAGCGAAAAACTTTCGCGCTTCGAAAGGCTAACGACCCAGGACACGTGACCCTTTCACAAGTCCCCATCCAGTTACTTATTTTTCAGTGGGTGTCTGTTTCGCAACAATTCACATTTTTCAAGGTCACCGTCTTCACTGTCGTTCGTTCACTACAATTTATTGACGCGCGTTGACGTTTTTCCTCGGAGAAGCCCCATACGCGTAGCTAGTACTGTTTTCCTCCAAAAACGAACAGTGTTTTCGGTCCTAACATTTAAACCACCTCCCATGCCAAAATGTCTAAGCCATTTCCCCTCCCTTCTGTCGCTTTCAGCTGTCGCGCGACAACTAATGAAGAGGCACAGACTTCGCCAAATGACGCCTCAAAAAGGTGTTCTCAAGTCAGCCGGTTATTTTGCGGAAATCACCTCACTTCCTTCCAAATTCACATGTCGAAGGATGAACAAAGGCTGACATTTCCTTGACGGAAGGTCCTATTCACCTGGTGGGAAGGAGGGGTTCAATGTATGAGATAGGCCATATTAAGGGATAATGGGGAGAAGGGAGACAACGAAAAAAAACGAAATAGACGTGAGATAGTGGCAGGTCGCCTCTTCCCTCCCCCTTCCTCAGTTCGACGGCAATTTTAGAGGAATTCTGGTGGGGCTG